CCACACCCATGAAATTAATTATTAAAACAATTTTTCACATTTTTATGATCTTCAATAAATACGTAATGAGTTGAATTACGATAAGATGGCCCATTTAACATTATTTTTAATATTTTTCAACTATTTTTTGAAAGGGTCAAAAAGTCGGAATTACTTGATTTAGGGGTGTGGTCCAAGCTTTATAGAGATCAATTTTTGGGCATGTCGCCGTTTTATAGCCCAAATTTTTTCGAGGGATTCGAAAAGATTTCAAAATTCTGAATATGATAAGCTTTTATCCCACTGGAATTTGAAACGGCGACATGGAGATATCGGGGGGTAAAGTTTTGGGGGTGTGCGGTGCGAAATGAGCGTACCAACCCTGTGCCCACCCTTGAAAAAAATAAAAATTGTCAAAAATTTTATAAAAATATTTTAAATTGATTTTGACATTTATGATTTTAAATTTTCGAGCCGAGCAGGTTCTGCCGGCCCTGATAAGTTTGAGACGGAGAGTCCATGGTTTGGTCACTCATTCATTCATTAGGTGAGTAAGGTTGAGCAAGCTTACTTACCTACGTTTTATGACTTTGTGCATTTCATATCACTACAGCAATCCCCACTCAATTAACCAAAAATCGTTTTAGAAAACGTCGAAGAAAATTTCAGGATATGCAAGTACATGATGCCTGCTGGACACACTAAGTTATTACGCACTGAAAAACACTAGTGCAGCCTCACATAACGTTAGGCTTTTTCATATTTATGAAATTAGTCTTACTGGAATTTATAATTCTCTAAATTTAGCTTCATCGTACTTACTGAGTAAGTCTTACTCAAGTAATTTATAATGTCAGAACCGAATTTTAGCTCGGTTAGATTAGTTTCAAAAACCAGTTGTTTATATTTTGTATTGCAGATTGCAATACAAACTATGAAAAACTTACATGACAAATTTGAATCTGGCAGAATTCCTTTAAATTCTGTCTAATTTTTACAAAATTATTTTGCAAAAAAATATAGGTCCACAAATCTTGTCTGGAACAAGATGCTTTTAATTTTTGCATATACCGCGAGAAAACATTTGGAAATAAGTACTACAGTACTACCACCCCATTTACATATGGACCTTAAACAATTTATAACCAAGGGCTATTTTGTAATATTCAAATTTTGAGATTTTAAGCAAAACTCTAACTTGAATTGAATCCAAAGCCATATACTTCAGTTTTGATAAAACATACTATAATACAAATATAACGAAATTGAAACAGTAATTACGACAGTTATATTATTTTTAATTTATATCCCTTGCTTTAGTTTATTCTGGTGCTTGATATTTAGTTTTCCTCAAACCCCAATAATATCTACACACAAATTTTTGAGGCTTGGGGGCCTCCGCTTCGCGGGGGCCCGTATGTGTGACATACCCTACATACCACCTATTTCCGCCACTGATTGGTGTTGGTATTAATGGGGTTGTTACAGGAATAGGAGACACGCTGCATGCAGATATGCAAATTCAGTGTTTTTAGTACATTTATAAAACTTTCACTTTTCACTTCTAACTTTGGGGGTAAGCACTATTTCGGTGCTCATAGCTTCCGACTCACTCTCTACCTGTTCATCCAACTCTAAAACATTGCGAGTTGGATTGAATACCTTTGCTTGGAAATTACTTTCCCCGGAATATCCAGAAATACGAAGAGTTACTTCGCGTTTTTTTGGCAAATCCTGCTGTCGGAAAACCCAAACATCCCACCAAAAGCTGTCTTGGTCGTGCGTGAGAAGAAACGCAAGAGAAGATAATCTCATAATCCCAGTAATAATTGGCACAAGATCATGATGACAATCCTTACTGAAGACACCAATTGGGACGATGTCACGGGGAAAGTCACGACACTCTTCACAGTTTATAAGGTGAAGCTTTCTTCCTGCACGACTTGGTGCCGGTAGGAGTAGATCGTGGATATTTACTGAAGATAAATTTTTTTGAGACCTGGTGCTCATGGTTTGTTGTTATATTTTGTGTTGTGAAAAATGTACTAAGTAATAATTGTGTATTGGATGGTAGGGTTTGATACTTGGTGGAAAATATGTATGTATGTGAAAGTTAAAAGTGTGAGAAAGGTTTGTCTCCAAATCCTCGAATGAAATGAAACTTGGCACTGAACTTTTACCAAGTATGATTATTTGTTGTTACGTTTATTTTAGGCAATGTGTGCCTGGAACGGACACCGCTGCGAAATTGTGACACCCAACGGTCTCACAACCAAAACGACAATTATAAATTAGACATGATTGCTTGTTGCATTTCTGTTTTAAAAACATTCGACTGTTTTAGTTTAGTTTTACACATTGTCTCTTATTTTCATGATTCAGTCAATCTGGAATTAATCGTCTAACGGGATGTGACACTTTATGTTACAATTCGGATTGCATTTCATTATTGCAATGTTTCTACTGCCCCAACTGACAGTGTCATGTCCTTTATGCTCGATTAAACCTTTTCGTCTTATTGCAAGGGTGAAATTTAAAAGGGTCGTTTTAGCCACGAGTCATCACAATGGGTAGGGGATGCATGAAAAAAAAACTATTGATGATGTTCACTCAACATTTATGTATTCACAACAACATCGTGTCAAAAATCCTATTCAACTATTTTTAACCCATTTAATTTTGTTTTGTATTTATAAGTAAATAAATGAATTCGATTACTAAAAAAATAAAATATAATAAAAATATATGAAAATATATGAAATAGATATGCTCGGAGGGCGTCCCCATCCCCAGCAAATCTTAGTAGTGTGTTTTCCCTTCCAGCCGCCGCATCACACATCTAACTTTAATACTAATAAATTCATCTAAATACATAAAATGAACCGCTGCAAAGAAAAGTCAATACAAAAACAAGTTTCTTTATATTTATTATGCTAATGGTTGGATATATTTTTCCTCGTCTTCTTAAGTCTTCTAAATAACCAGGTAGCTTCCAGACCTATCGCCTTGGTTGAAATATAGGTTGCATGCTCCGCAGTTGAATCCTTAGTCCCACAAGTGCAAACTGGTTTTACTGCTTCTTTTCTCACTGCTACTCGTGCCAATAAACCCAGCAACTTTTTACGTTTAACTTTTCTGTCGATCCCGTCCTTCAAAGTCTTGAACAAAGATTTGATATAATCATCTTCAGCGAATTCATGTTTGGTTACAAAGTGGTTATCTCTGCTTTCCTTCTTATTCTCAAGGCTGACTTCCATTTTTTCATATGCAAATTTCTGGCTGATGTCCTTGGATATTACTGCTGGATCACCTCCAACAATTTCCGATTCTTTGGTAGTAAGCATTTTTCTCTTAATTTCCAATTCTTCGAGACTAAGATGGTCGGAAATTGAAAGTTTAGTTTTAAAATTCTTCAGTTTGTGACAATTTTGAAAAATTAATGATTTTTCAGGCGCGTCTTTCAGCTTTATTAATATAATCTCACTTTTAGACCTTATTACTGCCTGCATCATTTTTGGCTTGATGTTCATTGTCGTCCAAAAGAAATTACTTAGGAATGTTTTCACATCTTCCCCGGGTGGTATAGCGAGTCCGTGGATTAAGATATTATTTTGTCTTGCTTTATTTTTATGTAATAAGTTGTCCAAAATTTAGAGAGGGTGCAACTCGATTTATCTCCAAAACTTCGGCTTATTTATATACTTGAAGTTCAATACCGGTATTCAATGCCATTGATAACCGTGTTCAATTTTTGTTCTAATTTGTAAACTAGATTTTTAATTTCTGCAAGATCTCTTGAATTATTTAACTCTTGATTTGTAAAACACGAGAGTTCTGATTCACTATTTTTAACGCATTCTTTCAAACCAGAAAATGCTTTTGATAAATTTAAAATTTGCTTATTTGACTCAAATATTTGCGATCTTAAACTTGGTTGTGAGTGCTGACTTGCCATTGTAAAATTCTGACTGGCTTATGTGACTTAATTAACTGTAGCAGAACACCTTTTGCACAACGTGTTCCTCTGACTGCCCAAACGAGACTCTTTTTCAGGGTAATTGAATGAAGAATAAAGTTTGCTGATTTAAGTTACTGATTTACATGTCGGACCAAATAGTCAAGGCGGTTTTTGTTTTTCACTTCTTGATGAGGAGTTGGTTGTATTCCCAAATATGTGTCTCCTTTCATTCTCTTCATTTTATTACCGGCGACTTTCCAATTTCTCTTGTCGGATTTTTTTGACCTGTTCTTTTCATCGCAACATCCCCAGGAAACTAGTAAGTAAGGTAAATAATGTATTAAAATAAGTAAATTATACATTTCTTTCATTGCTGATTCCTTTTAAGCTGTACATACTTGTCTGTTAGAGGTTAATGTGTCAAATTGCGATGCACTATTGGAAAAACTTGGCGGCAAATGGGTATCGATTCCTTAAAATTACAAATTACTTGGTGCAAACAAAACAATCATACAAATTAATAGGGCCAGAATATTAATTAGATATATAATCAGATAGTATTTTTGAAGTCTTGAATTAGGGGACGTTCTTAAATTACGTAACGCTAAAAATCGATTTTCTAGACCCCCCCTTTCCCCCTATAACATTGCGTACATAGGCACGATATCATTGGAGCCGATACCCCCTCCCCCGCTTCAAGCGTTACGCAATTTAAGAACGTCCCCTTAGGGTACACGTATACTAATATGAACAACTAGGCTATAGCCCGTGTAAAACACGGGATCTGTTCAATTTTTTTGGGATGGATGACTATTCTGCGATCGAATCAGATCAAGACAAAGCAATTGGATGGGTGGATTGATGATAGGATTTTTCCCGTGTGGAACACGGGACGCGAAACCTTCGACCCTGAATCTGATTTGATCGTAAAATGGATTGTCATTGCTCCTTTATCCTAATCCAAGGAGTATAATTTGGTCTCGATCGGTACGGTATCAGAACGTAAAGTCCAGAAAGTCCGGAAAGTACAGAAAGTCTGGAAAGTCCAGAAACTCCGTAAAGTTCAGGAAATCCGGAAAGTACGGAAATTCAGACATAAGTCTATGGACTCTCCGATGTTTCTGTGCACTCTCAGGACTTTCCGCAGGACTTTCTGAACTTTCTGGACTTCCCGGACTTTCTGAACTTTCTGGACTTCCCGGGACTTTTTGGACTTCCCACACTTTCGGGACTTTCCGCAGGGCTTTCTGGACTTCCCGGACTTTCTGGACTTCCTGGACTTTCTGGACTTTCCGGAAAGTCCGGGAAGTCCGGGAAGTCCGGATAGTCCGGGAAGTCCGGAAAGTCCGGGAAGTCCAGAAAGTCCGGGAAGTCCGGAAGATCCGGGAAGTCCGGAAGGTCCGGGAAGTCCAGAAAGTCCGGGAAGTCCAGAAAGTCCACTGAAACACCAGAAACCTAACCTCATAGTATATTTGAGTAAGCCGTAGCCGACGCCTCCAAATACTTGTCGCCTATCAATCAATGTTGCCGTTTGTAATACATTGAAGGGATGTGTTCCTCACAGACAGACAGACAGACAGACAGAGAATGGACTAATCTTCTGGACTTCCCGGACTTTCTGAACTTCCCGGACTTTCAGAACTTTCTGGACTTCCCGGACTTTCTGAACTTTCTGGACTTCCTGGACTTTCTGAACTTTCTGGACTTCCCGGACTTTCTGGACTTCCCCGGACTTTCTGGACTTCCCCGGACTTTCTGGACTTCCCGGACTTTCTGGACTTCCCAGACTTTCGGGACTTTCCGCAGGGCTTTCTGGACTTCCCAGACTTTCTGGACTTCCCAGACTTTCGGGACTTTCCGCAGGGCTTTCTGGACTTCCCAGACTTTCTGGACTTTCTGGACTTCCTGGACTTTCCGGAAAGTCCGGGAAGTCCGGAAAGTCCGGGAAGTCCGGAAAGTCCGGGAAGTCCGGGAAGTCCAGAAAGTCCGGGAAGTCCGGGAAATCCAGAAAGTCCGGGAAGTCCGGAAGATCCGGGAAGTCCGGAAGGTCCGGGAAGTCCAGAAAGTCCGGGAAGCCCGGAAAGTCCAGAAAGTCCGGGAAGTCCAGAAAGTCCACTGAAACACCAGAAACCTAACCTCATAGTATATTTGAGTAAGCCGTAGCCGACGCCTCCAAATACTTGTCGCCTATCCATCAATGTTGCCGTTTGTAATACATTGAAGGGATGCGTTCCTCACAGACAGACAGACAGACAGAGAATGGACTAATCTTATATAAATACACACATAGCGGCTGAATTTATTTCGAAAATACAACCTGTCCTGACTCGGTGCCTTCAATTTCTGCCGCATTTGCAAAATTATCTGTAAAGATGAAAGAAATTAGAGTATTTTGAAAAAATAAATAGAATAGAGTAACAATACATTAGTATTCGTAAAAATAAATTTTAGCTAATATTTACAAATACTATTTTGGTTTAATACGCAAATATATACCAATGGGCAATCCAGAGGAAGTATTTTAAAATGTGATTAATGCATCCTGTATGCAAACACTTACTTGGTAAGTATCCAAAATTGTCAAACCATACAATAGTTTATAAGTACCAATAATTTTACAGTAATTTTATCGTATCTATTGTAGTTGAATAATGTTCCCAGTAAACGATGCTTAACCAAATTATTGAATTTAACAAACGGATATCTCATGTCATAAAAAGTAATTGGCATACCCAAGAGAGTTCTCCAAATTGTTGCGTGACTATTCGTTTGAAGGATTTTTTTGCTGTACATAGTTCTGACAGGTTCTGCTTGAATTTCAAATTTTGTCATTATATACAAAACATGCTTACTTGCAAAATTTATCCCGTTTTCATGTTTGATATACGTATTCCGTTATAATGCATCGGCTTCTCGGTTCTACTGAAATTAAACATAAGGGTATGGCAACACTCTGAGTGCAAATTAGATGGAATTATAACTTATCTTGCAATTATTCCCTAGTCCAAAAAATTATCCTATTTTCGATTTAATCTTTCATGTACTTGAAAACATTTCTTCCTAAATACTTACGTAAATAAAGGGAAGACTGGGATGACGGCTTGTGCAACGCCAGCCTATACTACAAAGTAATTGGAAAAATTTAATTTCTCGGTGTTCATTTACTTTCAGATCTAAGATTTTACCTTCTACAAACTATGACAGTCCTTATTAAAGTATTTTGAAGTTTTGAAGTACTTTGAAATAGTTTCCCCGCAAAGAAAATTAAACATAAACTGAAGTCTTTGGATTTTTCTATACATTGCGTATTAGGAAACATAAGACATTGTGTATTTTGGAATCGGACAATGTGCACCCGAAATCAGTGTACCTTTGTGAACGAAAACTTAACGATCTTAAAATTTCTCCGGCTATTATGTTGTACTGCATAGAAATGTGATCGCCTAGTTCATCCAAACACGATCAAATTATATGAAGAATTTGAAAAGAGACGCCATGGAGCAATGCAACGTATGTAGGATACATTCCTAATGTAACAATAAACTTTTCTTACTTTTCATCTCCATCCAACAGTTTGACAAAAATAGTCTTCAGGCCCAGGATAATTAATTAATTTATATCTCAGAATTTTCAGGTTTTATAGAGAACCATTACGGTGTACACTAATTTCAGTTTACAAGTTATAGGTAAGACGGTAAGAGATCCCTGTAAAGAAAGCTAGGGAAATTTAGGTTGTACTTTGTAGGGGGGTCGAACCACTCATTACCAGAGATAGTTCAAACCCGCGGCGGTAGCGCATTTAAGGCTAATTGCCGACAAATTTAGGTTATTATTCATGCTATATAAACGACCTTCAACAGAACAAAACTTATGAAAGGGGTTAAGAGTTGAATCATTGGTTAATTAGGGAAACGCCGAAGTTTAAAGTTTGGAAAAAATTTGCAAATGCAATATAATACATCGGTAAATAGTAAGGGTTCTTTAAACATTTAGATTCAAATTTTTTAGTATGTAATTGCATCCTAAGATGCTAATGCTATCTAAGTAGGACGTTGAATCCTTGATATTTCAAAATTATCATCGGTGCGCCCTGTCGATGTGCGCCCACTTTGGTGGGACAGGTACAGTGTGTCCCTATTAAAAGTATTGTAATTATTATTTTTTAATTTGTTCTATGAAGAATGTTTATTTCCATGATGCATGACGTCTCCATTTCGTTGATCTTGCTGTCGGTTACATCGTGCTCTGTTTGTTTTTCTTTGAAAGCTATTTATAATAATGATGGCGCAATTCCAAACAGGATTATGAAACATGTTGAAAATTGTGACCTACAAATCCTCCGTGACGGCGATTTGTCCTCGGATCACTTTTCGTTCTTGCAAGACCTATTTCTCGCGAGAACGATGATATTTATGCCGCAGTTTGAGAAAAGACTTCACACTTTAACAAGTATCAGCGAGTTGTCGTTCACCATAGACGTTACAGTTACGCGGCCTGCGGGAAATAAGATAAGCATTTGGTTAAGTGAGGGTCTACTTACCAAAAATACAAAAAGTCGTGACCCACCCAAGTTTACAGCTTGGTTGATGATATCTACTACATTTCATTACATTACTAGATTGAGAGGACATTGGAAATTTATATCCTCGATAAAAAATACTTACCCAATAATAATGACTACGCTGGGCTTAGAGGAAGCAGCAAATTTATTAGAAATCCATCGTCATAAAAATTATTATGAAAGTTTGTTCATACTCCTCATTTCAAGACCGGGTGTAAAAATTTGTGTGAAAGGGTTGGGGTTGTTGCCTCATATTAAGGAGAACTATGATTGTAAATTAGCAGACGACGGTAAAATATTGGCAAGTTATGATAAGCTAACGCCACTACAAGAACTTTGGATAGGGTCTTATAATCCTTTAAACGTAAAGGAAAGTGATCTTGTCGCAATCAGAAATTTGCCTCACCCTTCCTTAAATCCGTTTGATGGTAAGACCTACATGCGCATGCCACTATACATGGCAATAATTTTGGTGGAGACGGGGAGAAATGCGACCCTCGTTTTAAAGCGAAATTGGGCAGATGTTCCCCATCTGGAGATAGAAACGAATTTATACTTTCTCAATAACGAAGGAGTGCTTTCGGAATACACGTATTCTACTGGGTACCAATTTTTGAGTTGTTATGCTGATTCCTATATAACTTTTGATTTCTACGTGACACCATTCCAGCCAATAGTATGGCTTAGTTTGGGATTCAGTCTGCTTGTGACTTTTGTGTTGCTATCTTTCTACATGTTTTGGAAGCATAAGCGATCTGGGATTGAATTATATTTGTCTCTCCTATCTTTATTTTTCGATGACTTCACATCAGTCCCAAAATGCATGGCAAATACGTTTTTTTATCGTATCTTGTTCAGCGTTTTGGGATTAGTTGCTCTTTTGCTGACCAATTGTTATACCGGAAAAATGATAACAGAATTGAACGCACCGTTGAGACAATCGCGCCCGGAAACGTTCCAAGACCTAGTATGTCAAGGTGGATATATTCTGAACAGTAAAAACTCTCACGATGTTGCAAGATGGGTAAGGGGGGCAAAGCTAGATACATATTTTGGATACTGGGGAAAGCTGAATTGGTTGTTACCAAATGTTTCAAATGCCTTTGCATCCGACACATGTTTTAGAATGCTTTCAACCCCGACTCAAGCTGCATTTGGAACAACGTACCTTTTTTATATTCATTTAGTTTTCAAATACGGCTTTGAAATCAAAAACCTATTAAAGCAAGTTCAGATCAATAAGGAAAGGGCTTTAGAAATTAGCAAAGCCAAGTTATTTTACCTCCTTCTTTTGAATCCAGTCCATAACTTTCTTCCCAGCGGTATCAACTTCACAAAGGGAACGTACACCTCTACAGAACTACAAGACTTGGTGGACAGAGATATTACAATTTGCCATAAAAAAACAGCACTAGTTGGGATGACGGAACTGATTGAGGGAGAGATGGATTTCCTCACTAAAAGTTACCCATCAAAGAAATTTTATTCAGGAAACGACCTCCTGGAGCAGAAAAGGTCTGGATGGACATTTCTTGGTGGGGGTAGGAGTCCAGTGTCTAGAAGCATATCTCCCGTTCACCAAAGATTTAAAGCTCTAGTTCATTCCGGGATTTATTCAAGATTGAAAAGGGAAATGGCAAGAAATATGTGGAAAGGAAGAACACCAGTAAAAAATGATACATCCTACATTGTTTCACCGATGGGTATTAATGGAAGACTTGTGACAGTTTTTATCATCTGTGGGGCTCTGCTTTCTGTGGGTTTGATAGTCTTTATGGCCGAAGTTCGTAATTACGCTTGGAAGTTGTAGATGTATTTACATGTTTATCTGACTTCCTATTTGTATCGTGGAAAACGGTATTCTCATCCGCATTTGTCGGCAAACTATACAAAAGAAAAGCAAATAAGTAGTAATTTTAAAAAATCATTTGAGGTGAGACACGTACTTAAAGTAAATAAATTGTAGTTATTTTTAAAATTTAAGGTTAGGCAAGTACCGTAACAGGTTGGGATTTCAGGCTCAAATTTATGAAATTGTGTTGAATACTCCCAAATCCAATTGATAAAATTGCAAAAATTGTGAAATAGTAAAGTATTATATCGCGGTTGACAAATTGTTCAGGTATTTGAATGCTTGCTTATAATATAGTTTACATCCGAATGTTTATGCAAATTAAATAAGCAAGTTAATTTAAACACAAACAAATTTGACACTTTGCAACTATCATATGTGTAAAAACTGAACACATGTATATGTAAACTATTAATTTGTTCTATGCTATAGATCAACATACATATCTATATTATAATTTCGAAAAGTCCTTCCCGTGAAATTTTCCGTGACACTCATGCATTCTAATGGGTTTCCGGCTTTCTGGCTCCCATTTCAAATATCGTTATTAATTTACATTTTTTTGAAATTATTAAATTGAATAATTTCTTAAGATTAGGCCTTTCTGCCCATCCGAGCAGTCGAATCGACTTTGATATAAAGGAATTCATGTTGGACGACCTTGAGGCCAGTGTCGAATCACTATTCCGGAATTTACGAGTAGGAAAGACGAAGAAGGTACGAGTAGCGGCTGCTGTGATTGAAGACATCAATGAAGAAATTGCTCAACAAGCATTTTTCGACAAATTGACAAAAATGTGCCTCGACCTTAAGAGGTATGGCAGACGAGTAATAGTTTAAAGTTTCAAAATTGAAAAATGTTCCAGATCGACCATCTACCGTTACATTAGGTAGTATAAGGATACTGAAACAGTGAAATTCAAAAAAAGTAGTGGACCACCCCCCGTCCTAGCCACCCCCCAAAAAGTGAAAGCCTAAAAAAACTTTTCACCACCAATCCTTCTATTTCCATTCGTCCTGCCGCTCGAAAAATGAAAATTTCGACAAGTTTGTTGAGCAAAATTAAAGCTCATAAGCTGGGCCTTATGGCCAGAGTAAAAAAAGTGCCCCAAAATACGTAAAGGACCAGGAAAGCAGAGCCCAAAAATGTTGCAAAAACTTGTATGGGAAAATGACATCAAAAATTATCGTCATGACGAGACGTATGTCTTCGTTGATCCCACAGAGACTCCGGGAAAGAAATTTTTCCACTCTGCCAACCCCAAGGATGTGAATTATGAACACAAAGTTCAAGTGAAAACAAAATTCCCTGAGAAATACCTGGTTTGGCAGGCGATGGACAGTTTTGGCAACATTTCTCCACCATATATTTGCAAGGGCACCATCAACGCACAAATTTATAAAACTCAATGTTTGAAGCGATTACTTCGTTGGATAAGGACACTTCACAATCTGGATGACGTTTTATTTTGGCCCGACCTCGCGACGTCACATTATGCCAAGATTTCCACGGAGTACTTATCGACCCAAGGCGTCGATTTTGTGCCCAACAAAGACAACCCCCCAAATGTCCCCCAATTGAGACCAATCGAAAAGTTTTGGGCCTTATGCAAAAGACGATACTCCGACAGTCACTCCAAGCTGGAAAAACTGGAGAGATTTAAATACCATTGGGGGAAAATCAGTAAGGACATTGCACGATGGAGTGGAAAATCGCTCATGCCAAGCTTGCGTCGGAAAGTGGGACTGGTTGCCCAAAATGGAATAAAGCACATCCTATGAAGCAAAACAGAAAGGGTATGGTTCCCAGCTATAATTTTTCGAAGGTTTTATCAAAATCAACTTATCGAATCAAATTTTATAGGTCATCAAGCACTGTGCCAAAAAAGCGTGTTCACACTATAAGAAGTGGAACTTGTAATATTAATTTGTTTACGTCATTCAAGAAATTTACATTGCTGAGCAAAAGTCAGTGTGCAAACTTCACACAGTTCTATCTGACAGAGTTTGTGAGATATCAATTTGAAACTTTGCACCGATATAGCCAATCGTATTTGTGGGAAGATAGGATACCTACTTTGGAGCAGCCATGGATAGGTCAAAGTTATGATTGTTTGACCTGAAACCCAAAAAGTCAACTACCCTTAGAAAATTTTTTTCTTGGTGTTTTTATTTTTATTAAGTTGTCCCAACTCATCTTGAAGATTTTGATATGTTGTACACCTCTGTGCGATTTTTTAACGCTCACACTGATTTTTTGGAAAGTGCAGTTTTGAGATTTTGCTCCATAAGCCCAATGTTATAACTTTTCAACCGTGGCAGATGGTGCAGAGAGACCACCGGAAACGTTAGTGGGATCCCAATCTGCGTGGCAACGCCCCATACACGACCTCAAGGTCAACAAACTTCGGGAGCGGGCAACGGAGCCCGAAAGTCCGCCTACTCGCCGCCGCACAACCACACGCAGGAGCCTGGCTGAACACTTTGCCTTCCCCCCAGTTAGTAACACATCTCCCCAATGAAGCCTTCCGAGTCGCAACAGCCCTCCGGTTAGGATGTGATATCTGCGTCCCCCACAAGTGCTCGTGCGGGGAAAAGGTCACCGCTAGAGTCTATCATAGCCTCAAATGTAGGAGGAAGAGCGCGGGACGCCACTCTCGACACGCTGAAGCAAATGACGTAATCGCCCGTGCCCTCAGTCAGCAGAAGTGCCCTGCCTCAAGGAACCACCGGGCTGCGCCAGGGCCGATGGCAAGAGGCCAGATGGTTTGACCATTGTGCCTTGGAAAAGGGGGCGTAGGTCCCTGGTGTGGGACTTCACGTGCGCGGACACCTTCGCCCCCTCCTACCTTCCGTCAACAACAAACCGCCCGGGAGCGGCCCAAGAAGAAATACGACTTTCTCCACGCCCGATTCCTTTTTGTTGTAGGCGAGTGCATGTGCATGTGTATGTACATAAGTAGGTTAGAAGAGTTATAAATAGAGGTTGATGTAATCTTCTGTGTAAGATTACACCAAGCTCAGAAAAAGAGAGTTAGTTAGGTCAGAGCAGTGGTTAGGATAAGATAGAGTTTAGTCGTAGTTTAGGTTACGTTTGCCTTGTAAATAGTATAAGCAAAGATCTGAATAAAGTCCCGAGTTCGGGCAAAGAAACAATAATGTAATGTGTGCAAAAAGAAGAATTCCCTGCAACAAATGGTGGCTTTTGCTACGCTCCTTCCCTACCTCTTAGCAAGCCTTAGTTGTTTTTTTTGGAAACAATCCCTTCAAAATTTGAAAACTTTAAATACTTTAGTGTCGAGTAAGATAGATACAACCCGGCCTTAGTGATATTTATAGTGACAATTTTTGGTGGAAACCTCAGTTTCATGAAACTTAGTGTCTTAGTAAATTTTGCAATCAAATTGGTGGTGGTGGAGAATATTGGCAAAAGTTTCGGAAGAGCATATCTACTCATTTTTGGACTTTGAGAGGAAGGCGGATTTTTGAAACGTTGGTGAGAGAAAATAAATATCCAGAAAAGGTAATAGATGTTTTTATCGAAAAAAATTGGCGAAATGGTGTAGAAAATTGCGTAACCCACTCCCAGTAACTCCCCCCGCCATACTTCCTGTAAGGAAGGATTGGCTCCACGACAAGTCATTATCAGGGTTTCCATTATTATTTAGAATCCATCTCGTGCAATTGCAAATTGCATAAGCGTAATCTAATTTCCATTTGCATCAATATTATATCCTTGCAAATTTAATTTTTTCACGTTGTTTTGCCTACCTTGCACTTTTCTTTCTGAAAGAAAATCAACACTAATACCAAAATTTGTACAAATGATAATTGTACAAATAAATATCAGCACACGCACCCCGTTCTGGCAAATTTTTTTCCACTTTACAATATTCTTCTTACTCAACCTCGGCATTCTCGCGAATCCTGTCTTTGTTTCATAATCAGAAAACAAGAACTTTATCTAAAATTGTCCAAATTACAGGTCATGTCTCAATCATACATACTCACACAAAATATAAAATTATTGCCTGTATCTTATGTAGAGAAATTGAAAAAACATGCAACTTTTTATTCATTTCCAAATGTTGACTCGATCACAAGCTTTGATGAACTACTGACATTAATACGAAATTTTGAAATGTTTCCATGAAACTTATTTCTTGTGATTCTATTTCCTTGCGTAAGTTTGAAAATCATCATTTTTTCTAAGAAATCAAGAAGTTGCATAATCTAAAAATAACGATTTGGCCGGGTCTCATGTTGGAAGCGAGATGACACGTCTGGAACATGGCCAATCCTCACATGAGTCATCCATATTCCTTATTTGAATCTGGGACCTCGCGTTATTTTTGGATTTGGCAACTTTTGCGAACATACGAAAACGACTCTTATGCGCAGTAGGTTAAATTTAACTTGGCAGCCCATATTTGGACTTTGGACTTTTGGACATATTTGGAAATTCAGAACAATTTTCTTTAGTCCTGGCTAGTGTTGTTATTAAAGTTTTCCTTCGCTCAGTCTTCACTCAGCATTTTGGCCGATTGGTATGCCTGTTCTTAGTCCCCCAGGAAAAAAGTTTAAACAAGATCCAGACTTTGAGTTATCTGATCCGGATTTTGAGGAATATCAGCAGAGACCTCCACCCTCACCAGGGCCAGACCCTGCTCCTACGTATCCTACCCTTTCTACACCTGTACGTACACGCTCCAGACAAGGTAGGCGTAAATTATTACACCTTAAGGACCCTGTGGTAGTTGAAAAACAGCTCCGGGAACCGGGACTGCTTGTTTCAACACTCAGGAGCCTTGGTACATGGGTAGGACTGGGAATTAACTCATCGGTCACTTCCCCGCTAACCACTCCCTCCGATAATTCGCAAATTGCTGGCAAACATACAAAACCCTCCCCCACTCTCCCAGAGCGAACCCCTTCAACCAATACTTGGTTGTCCCGGGTTTCAGCAACTCGTCAACGCCCCCCCATAGCTCCCTGTAAGGGAGGCCTTGGGTCAGCCCCACAACAAGACACATCAGATTCACCCGTTCATAAGCATCCAGTCGCATCTGATCCTTCCAGTCCTATCCCTCCACCAAGGCGAAATAAACGTAAATTAACACTAGGACCACAACCTTCCGCTCAGCCGGAAGAATGGTTACAGGGTCCTGATAATGAGGTTGGAAGTGTTGGTTCACATCAATTCTATAAGGGATTACCCGCGTTCCCACCACTACAGGAGAACTTTGAATTTTCTTCGGCGTGTTCTACTTCTAGTTCGTTAACTAAGGATTTCAAAGGAAAAATTAAATTAGAAATTAAACCTGATATTTCACAATTACAAAAAGAAGCAGGTGCATCCAAATTTTCTTATCACTCTTCAGGATCTAGTTCACCTTCTTTCAAATCTTTTTCTTTAAGTTCTCGTTCAAATTTTCAATCTTCTCTGCAAACAATTAGGGAAAATATTTGGGCTAGTCCTTCTTCTTCTACTTTTAAATCTTCTGTGTGGAACCCTCCCTTGGCAGTGCTCTGGCAAGCCAAAAAATCCGCTAGCGCTTCTTCTGTCGGTACGACCGCAGGTACTTCTAAGGCTACTACTGCAAGTCATTCTTCAACTTCTAAAGCAACAGCTACTTATACAGCATCCTCATCTTCCTCAAGTAAGGGTACAATGGATGTCGCTACTACGTACTTTCTACCTCCCACGGCCCAACTTGAAGTGTTCTACGATGGGACAGGTTCCATCAAGGATTTCGTCCAAAAATTTGAATTACTTGCCTTATCCTACGGATGGACGGATGCTGACAAATTAAAATATCTCCCCCATTATTTGAAAGAATCCGCTAACGCCTGGTATGATATCTATCGGACAGGCAAGGCTAACCAACAGGGGAAATCATATTCTGTTAACCACCTATCGTCAATGGATATGCAAATTTCAAAAAAAAAAACAATTCGTTTTTGAATTCACTTGTTTAATTTAAGTTTAACCTAAAAAAACCTACGGCGTAAAGGAAACTTAGGGAGGTCCATCAGGGATCCATCAGACGAAAATTACCAATTAATTAGTCATATTTTTTTAAATATTTCAAAAAGCAGCTATTTCCATTATATGAATGAATGTATGAACTTTGCAAACTTCGTCCACCTGAAATACTTGTGCTGAATTTCGGAAGTGTGCAAATTCTAGTCAAAAATAAATTTAATTTAGTAAAGTTTTGGTCCCAAATCTAAAATTACAAATTTCACAGGAACCCCACACATTTTGGACTATGTTGCGAAAATTGCTTTACCACACCAACTTACCACCACAAATCTCCGGGGCAGATTGTCAATAGTTTTCTTGATTTCGAAACCCGGGTAATGGAAGGTAAATAAGTATATACTATAATATCACCAATTATGTACCCATTTTAAACTTTTAAATCTCGCAGATCTCACACCTCCACGGAAATCAATCTGGATGAAGCTTATGAAGATTTTCGTCAGAATAGCGAACATCCCTACTTGGAATCCCTATTCTTCTGTGGATTTTGAGGACGATAGCCCCATGTACACCTCGATTCATCCTGTCTATGCTACCTAACTGCAATGGCTCGCATTATCACATCAGAGTAGTTGTAAATGTTTTCGAGACCTGGATGCAGTTACATATGAAGGTGTCCGCGGGGACGTTGGTCGTGAACGGCGACTTCATCGGGATCGTCTGCATTGTCACGTACTTCGATGTATTGGAAAGGTAATACACGTGCTCTTTAAATTTTTCCGCAACCCATAGGCCAAGATTTGTATTTTTATTTGTTACTCTAGGGAAACCGAATTCATGCGAAATGAGGATGATATGACGAACTGCATCCAGCTGTATCGGAGCATTCATATTTTGGAGAAATCTTTCAACGACTTCATAATGTCCAGGGTATTACCCATTGTGGTTCTATGCTCCCCAGGAATACAACTGATTTCTCTCTACGTCTGCATTGTTCATCATCATGAATTTGACATGCCTACATATTCTGTGTTCCCTCTCATTCTAATAGATTCATTCCCCGTGAACGTCTTCACCTTAGCTTCATTTGTAAACATCAAGTCGGAGAGGGTCGTCCAAAATATGAAGAGTAAAGTGGGATGCTTATACAATCATAAATTGATCCGCAGACAGGTGATGACATGCACAACGCTCAAAGTTAGATATGGGCCGAATTTCATCGATCATGGAACACTACTTGTTATTGAGAACTTCTGTTTTGTTAATACCGTAAATTTGTAACTGATTAAATCGAGGCACGTTGTGTAAATTGATCCAAGAAGTAATATGATTGTTTTGCTAAATCTTTGATGAATTAACTAATGGAGGTTGCCCGACTTTATTGTGTTATCTGGGCTGCTTCTATTTCTCAGTAGTTCGCAAACAAATTACACACAAATTACTAATGTTGGAGACTTTTTCAGAAACAAATAATTAGATATAAACAATAAAATCTATATACTGTCAGCTTATGTCTTCATGCAACATACGTAGGCTCAATAAAATGAAAGGTCAGGAAAAAGAGGCACGTTTTTTAAGATATAATCTGCATCTATGCAACTATTGGCTGATATTTACTATTTACTAGTATGAATGATAAGCTGAAGTGTCACATATTGAACGATTTGCTCTAACTCTAGCCTCTCCTTAATTTAGTCCTTAATCAAATTTAATTATATTTACCTACCTTTAAATATCACACACTTATTCCTCAAGGGAATAAAACCTTGTCAATTCGAATTGATCGTAGGTTTTACTGCGCGCAGGACATGAGATCTGTGCCACTATTTTCCACCACTTTTCGTATCAGATCTAACATGACGAATCAAAATCATCTTTATTTTTGCATTGGATTCTTTTTGATAATTCTGTCTTGAGTTGTATTTATTCAATGAGAAGGGGTTGACGAGCAAGGACGGGCTTGTAAAGATGTTAGTACTAACCTCAATTTTTATTCCCTTACAGCATTGGTTTAAAAGTTTTAAATGCACTCTGCAATTAAATACTCGTGTCTCATGACCGTCTGCTCGTACGTTAAGATGTTCTATATCAATTTTTGGTTTTTGGATACATTATAATGATAAGTGATGATCGTTGCAAATCTAAGATTAGGAAGTCATACCTAACGCTCCTCCTGGTGAAACTAGGTTTATTGGTATAGACAAGAGTCCCATCCTTACCAAATTATGATATAAATACCATGCACGGTAAAAACATGTCGCTGATGGTATATGATCAAATGGACAAATCCATACTTAATTATTGCATAAAAAGCTAATCTAATTTGATTGTAAATTTCTCTCTAACAAATATGCTCCTTTGTAGTCTGTAGTTTCCATTATTTGTTTCTATTACAGCTAAGTACTTACCTACAAGCTAATTGATATTTAAAGATACGAGAGCAAAGTCGTTTTAACTTAAAATTATAGAAGCCATCACGACCATTTTATAAATATAGTAAAACGCACTAGAATTACGATCAACCGATATTTATTTAACCTAACCATCGTTAAAATCCTATTTAAAATATCGACCGCAAAATAGGTTTCCTTTGGTTAACCTTCCAATTCGTTTAGTAGCCTCTGTGCTCTGCTCCACTGCGACAACAAGTATTAATACGTGCGGCGTAAATAAACACGGTCGGTTTTCATTTGTAACCATTTGGTGAGCGTTATTACCACGTTGCAAAGAATATTGATAAAATTGGTGTAAATTTAACATCGTTCGGTTAAATAGCAAGTGTGATTCCCCCGCCGTAGTTTTGATTTGTAGCCCATTCGATGACCACTGCCTCCGTCAGTGTTGGCGAATTGTAACCTCGTAATCAACAGATATTGACAAAGTTATACCATTCGTGGATAAAGCGACAACGGGGAAATTTACACCCATCTGACCCCATCAATTTTTCTGTGAGTTCTAAAAACGACAGCATGTGGTTCAAGAGTGGAACTTGCACGATTCTGATCGCGCAGAGAAATTCCTTCCACACCGCACACGTTTTCGTAGCAGTGGCAAATTCTTTTGCGAGATGCTCTGAATTTTTTGTTCTCATTTTGGAACTATTCGAGATATCAACTTGAAACGGGTTAAGTAAAATTTCAAGTAGAATAAAGATAACAGCTTTCATTTCATTTTTGTCTTTAGATTAAAATTTCCATTTTCACATTTATCTTGATCGATTGTTTCAGTGGCTTTGATAAGTTCTCGGGAAGCCTTCTTCTTAAGGCTAAAAAATTTTTTTAACGTTGCTACGTAATTTGTTTAGCGTTGGTAAGGATTTTTTGAGTTTGCTAAGGAAAAAAATAGTTCGCCAATTCTTTGCTGAGAGATGGTATCGATAATCAATTTACTGAATAGCGAGCCCGTCCAGACTTGTGAAGCCGGGGGAGCAAAAATTATGTTCTGTTTCGAAAAAAAACTTCAAAACCTACCAAAAAATACTAGAGTATCATAGAAACATTCTATACAAATCTAACAAAATATAAAACTAGTCCATGACCTTTTTGGACTGCGTCATGACCTTTTTAATCACAAAATTTATGTAGATCCTTGACGACGTTTATCAAATGGGGTATCAAATTAACGGCAATGGTGCACAGGTCACAATGACACCAAAACTTATTACCTACAACTTATTAGTATCAAATATGTAATACAAATTTATTAAAGAAACCCAAATTTCAGCTTTATTTTGTCCTAGATTCACGATCGCGATCCACGATTAAATCAACATTTACAGTTATTGATGGACGCGGAGAATAATCAACCTCTTCCAACGCAAAGTAAAAAACCTCCCGTCCAAGTTATGCTACCAAACTCACCACCACCATACTACGATCTTCATTATTATGGTCAGGTTAGCTCTATTGTAATCGAGTATGCTGAACTACTGTCTTGAATGGGGGTACTTATATTATTTTATTATAATATAATTTTCATTATCACTTATTATAAGATCGTATGTCCAACATATTATGGCAGCCACAAAAAATAATCCATAACTACGTATCCGAAATGTATCTAAATATTGCTTGAATTCACACGACGTGCCTGGAGCGAATCAGACAGAGGCTCACGGTTTGTTAGAAACAGAAGTTTTGAAGAACCACTGGAGTTCCACGATCGATGAAATTCGACCCAAACTTAAATTTGAATATGGTCAATGCCGCTATCTGCCTCCGGATCAATTTTCTATTACACAAGTATCCTACCTTACTCATCATGCTTTGCGCGACCCTCCCCGATCTGATGTTCACGTATGAAGCCAAGGTGAAAACAAGCACATTCACGAGAAACGCATCTATAAGACTGAGAGGGAACGCCAAAAACCCGGGCATGGCGATTTCATAATGGTGAACAATGCAGACGTAGATAGAGATCAGTTGTAATCCTGGGGAGCAAAGAACCACAGTGGGTAAGTTATAACGATCCTGCCCAGGATGAAGTAGTTGAACAATTTTTCCAAAATGTTAATGCTCCGATATATAGGTGAATATAATTTTTCATGTTACAATCATCATCTATAATTTCAATTTCCCTGTACCAAGTACAAATCAAAGTTTGTGTAAGATATAATTAAAAAGCGTATTACTTTTCCAGTACACCGGTGCATGTGACAAAACTGACGATCCCGATGAAGAGAGCGTACACGACCAATGTCCCGGAAGACACCATCATGTGTAACTGCATCCAGGTCTCGAAAACAAGATTTACAACTACTGATGAGATAATGCGTGCCATTGCAGTTAGGTAACATGGATAGGATGAAGAATAGGTTACCTATAGGGACGAAAATTTTCATAAGCTTCAGCCAAAGTGGTTTTCCCGCCGTTAGGAAATCTACAAAATGAGTTTGGAAAATAAGAATGAAATGTTTACATAATGTGTCAAGTTGTAGTACATACATGCCTTTCAGAACCTGGGTTTGTTAACTTTAACTTTAACTCTTTTTTGAAGCCAAAAAATACCTGGCTATAAAAATAGTTCAATATTTCTTTTTTCACTTTCTCTGCAGGGGTCGTATAAGATTAACCACCTCCCCCCGAATATAGCCCTGTACGTCTGTGCAACACAGCTGTACGATATCAAGGCCCCATTGACATACGCTGCAATGAGCCAGGAGAAAAAGGCAACGACGGATATCTTTACGAAACAGTGGATTCCTGGCTTCACCCAGAACCCGATCACCCGGTATTTATACAACGTGATAGTGATGGGCTTTATAACCACCGCGGCGGCAGAGTTTTATGGGGCTCAGTGCTCCGATGATGAGAAAAGGCCGGGAAACTGTTTTTATAGCAGATATTACTAAACGCATTGAGTAAAGGAGAGTTTATAAGTGGTACAAACTTTTCGATAAGTTTATACACAAGAACAATCTTGGCTAATTATGAATTGCGGAAAATATCTTCAGTATGTAAAATTTATTCTTTTCGGATTTCAATAAACTTATTTTGGCATCCTGTTCCTCCAAATTATACATTGGTGAAAAATAAAATAAAACTTTATGTAATAAAAATACAAATCGTCTTACTCTTTAAATTATTTATGTCGTTGTTCTAATTAATCACCATAG